TTCCCTCCTTAAATATTCTCAACTTCGTTCATACGCGTTTAGTACAGCAGAATCAATTCTCCCAGTCTTTAATACATTATTAAAATCAGTAGTGATATCGTTAGAGATAATAATAATAATAATAATAATAATAATAATAATAATAATAATAATAATAAATATAAAATACAGGAGGTTGAAAACAAGGTTTAGAACAACAAACGCTTGAGAACATCTTCAAGGCTGACTATTATAATTATTCTATTATAATACTATAATTATTTAAAACAAACGATGTACGAGAGGAGGAGGAGGAGGAGGAGGATGGTATATAAACAAATTCAGAGGAGATACATGACGTAATAGCCAATTGTAATATGGTGCATTGTATTAGAAGAAAAACAAGCCTGTGCTGTACATAATTAACTTACTAACATATATGTGTGTGTGTGTGTGTGTGTGTGTGTGTGTGTGTGTGTGTGTATACATGTATATACTATGTGGATATACATATACGTACACATATTATACAGTATAATGCACTATCGATTCACTGCCAACGCAGTTCGTGTTGTAAATGTAAATAGGTATATGATAACGTGAAAAAAATTGAATATAGTAAAAAATTTCTATCTGCGTATACGTTTGTACATATACATACATAATAATATGTAAACGGCGAGAGAAGTTCGAATTATATTATTATAAGAGATGAATTAACTAATTAACTAAGAGAAGAGAATATTGTACGATTAAGATCGAAGGACCGACCTCGAGGCCTCTGTGTAATTAACCATGCACTCCTTAATCAATTCATTTTTACGCATGTCACTCGTGGCAACACACGTAGTATTATATATTATATATGCGTACGATTTGTGCGTGCGCGTGTGTCCCAGCCATGCCGCCGTGTACCGGGGTGCAGTCCGTCGAAGGAGGCGCGTCCTCGTGGAAAATTCAAGTGCAATGCTTTACTCGTCGTCGCTATCGCTCATCACGATCACGTAACGATTTCTATTCTACATTTATTTTCGCACGAAGGATCGTCTCGCTTCTTATACCGAAGATTCTCGGTACACTCTGTATTGTATATATGCATGCACAAATACCCTATATATGTATACAATACTGTATATTAACTGTGTATATAACGATATATGTATGTATATTGTGCACGGGCAGGGTGGAAGCTAGCGGATGGTGGGTGAACGGACACGAACGAACAGAGGTATGCATACAACACGGAAATAAAATCATGGTACAGCCGTCCGTTATCGTTCCAACTACGAGTTTGCAGCCTGCCTGCATACATACGCCAAGATTATATATTAATAATCTAAAAC